ATATATATATATATATATATATATGGACTTCTTTAATAGGTTCTGAGTGTTGTATAGTTTTTACATCTGGCCCATGTAACCTGCTTCTGCCAATTAGTGTGTTTATCTCACTAGCACTTTCTAGTGTGAAAAACTTAATTCTTGCAAAGAGTGGCAGTTCCTCCAGCTCCCTACTCTAGCCCAAGGGACCCTTGGGTCTCTGGAGACAGGAGGGACTGAGGGCAGGAAGCATCTGCTTTTTTAGCACCTTTTTAAACAAGATGTGCCTCTGCATAGTGCTGATTGGCCCTAGGGCTGTCCCAGCTGTGGTGGCCCTGGCCAGTGGTGCAAGCCTGGCTGCTTGCTGCACTTAGGATACAGGAGAAGCAGCCCCAGCCCTGCAGGTCATGTTGGGGATGGGGGTTTGGGATTAGTTGGAACTCTGCTGTCACCTTTTCTCAGGAGCTACAAAGATTTTCATTTTTAAGCTGCCACACCCTGGTAGCCTCTCGTGTTGGGGCCCTGTGTGTGGGAGGCGTGGTCTGGAGGTGCAGCTGTGTGCTTGGATGTGCCTCCCTGGAGCGGAAGGGGCTGCTCAGTGTCTGGTTTGGTAGAATGTGTCTTCAGCTGACCACTTTGGACACCTTCAGGGCTGCACTACACACATGATGAGGATGCAGGGGCTGGACGAGAGCAGCACTTGATGTCTTTTTTCTATGGTTAACTGCCATTGGGGTGTGATGGGAAAGCAGGGTGCAGGAATGGTCATTGCTGTATCTTTCTAAAATGAATAAGTGGGCAATTTGTCAATAAAGCATTCTTTTGGGGAAAAATCCACGTACGCTTATTGGATATGTCTTCTAGGACATTGATAAAAGTGGTGAGTAAACTAGCACATGAGTCCTTGCTGTCATAAACCCACACCCTTTTGAGAGGCAAGCAAGGAACAGTCACAAAACTACAAATCTGCGATGCTGTGAAGGCAAGGGAAATGAGCTGGCATTTCTGAAGAAACCCTATGGAAGCTGACTTCCTGGAGGCCTGGAGGACTTTGCTTGCTTACAGGTTGATTCAGTACTTGAGGGGCTTCTCAACTGGTTAGAATTGACTCTACTCCAGAACTCTCTGCCACTGAGCATCTAGCTCAGTTAAAGTTGAGTTATTGTAGTGTAGACCACTGACTTTGGGAAGGTTGTGCTGATCCTCACCATGATGCTGTGTCACACCCCACTTTGAGGGGCTCAGCAGGCTGAAATGAGCAATGGAAAGAAGATCCAAGGGCCGGGGATTTAGCTCAGTGGTTCCGCCACCTGCCTTTCAAGCTCAAGTGTCAAGTTGTATCCCTGGTACCAAAAAAACACACAAAAAACAAAAACAAAAGAAGAGGATCCTGGTCTTCAGACCAGCAGTGTGAGAGCTGTGGAGAGGGGTATGAAATGCCTTGTTCACAGCAGTTCTTTGAAGGTATGCTTTTGTTCCACAGATGAGACTATTTGATATAAAAATGGTGAGTAACTGAAGCCCCCAAAGTTCTAAATGAACAAGGCAAGTTTGGAGGTGCAAGTCAGAAGTGCTGAGATGGCACAGGAAGATGGGGAGCCAGGCCATCACATGAGGTAGGTTCAGAGAGCAGGGGCAACAGCCAGTCTGGGCTGGAACTTGGGGGTCCCCTCAGCTCTCATGGGGAAGGATGTAATGCTGGCTGCTGTGTGCAAGCTTGCCTTTCAGAGATGTTAGGTGGGGGTTGGGCAGGCGTGTGTGTGACTGGACAGGGCCCCACAGCAATGCCCAGAGTCCTTGGGAGTTACATGTTTTAAGACAGTTTATTCATAGGGATCAAAAGTCAAGTGGTACACAAGAACGCTCAGAAATGAATTTCCACTTCCCACTCACTGCAGTGATTCATAATGTGCATTCTCCTGGTCATGTGACATTACAGAAACATGTTTTCTCATTTTCTTCCCTTTCCTACTTAAAAAATGGCACATAATGTGCATCCTTGTTGCATGTATCTGGATGTCCCCCTAATGCCTCATGCATTCATAGGTTGGCTAGATACAGGGTGTGATGCTGAGAGTAAGGGTGCCTCACCCTGGGTGTGGTGGCATTGGCCAGAGTAGTAGGCAGGCTTGCTACTGCTGCCAGTTGCTTGGCTGCCTTCTGCCGGCCCTGCTTTGTCATTGACTGTTTCTCTGCCATACCATCCTCCCTCAGAGCCAGCTGACTATGGACTGGAACCTACAAACTGAGCCACAATAAACCTTTCCTCCTTTAACTTTGGGTGTCAGGTGTGTGATCTTAGCAACAGTAAAAGTAAAACAACTCTGCTTTTTCTTCCTAATGATATTCTTTGCATTGCTCCCTGCAACACTTGTAAGGACCCCTGGGGCAAAACTTCCATCCTGGGCTACCCCTAATGGTATGCACGTGACTGCCACCTTGGCAGTCCCCATTGGGAAACCACTGTAGTGAGAATATTAAGACCTGGGGTAAAGGTGTTAGAGGTAGTGGGGTTTGGCCCCAATTTAAGAGCAGGGGAAGTTCAGTGACCTTGAATTGCGACATCTCAACACTACTGAGCAGGTAGCAAAAAGTAGCGCCATTACCACCTATAGCTATTATTTACCCTAATTTATGCTGGAGGTGAGTTCCATGCAGTCTCTTGTTTGAAACAGGGTCTGCCTATGTAGCCCAGGCTGTCCTTGAACTCATGGTAATCCTGCCTCAGCCTTTAGTGCTGGGATTACACCGCCATACCCAGCCCCCATCTTTATTAAGCAAATACTTTAAAATGTTCTCCAAGTAAAAGTTTAGTAGGCCTTGTGGGATAGGAGTCTGATGTGGACTCAGCCTTCAAAGTCTGATTCTACTTGTTGGAAACGATGCGATGGGTTCCCCTCAGCGAGTCTGGCTTATGTAAGATAGGTGTGGTAAGATGCTTTGAGAGCTTCTCAGATGAGCAAGTAGAAGTGAGGGCACACCTGAATGGGCTAGCACAGGGGAGAAGCGGCCACACCTGAAGACTCAGAATGAGAATGGTGCATTTGTCTTCACTCGGTAGAGGGCTTAAGATGCTTAAAACACCAAAGGTAAAATGTGAGACTCCAAAACTAACAACTGCCAACCCTTGACAGGCATCTTCCTGTTTTTAGGGTGCTGGAGATCAAACTCAGCTTCATGCTTGGCAGACAAGCACTGTACCTCTAAACCCCAGTACCAATTTGCTTGTTTTATTTTTCTCTAAAAGGTTGGCTTATTTATAAACATTTTAATAATGACAGTTCAATACCAGAAAGATGGCTTAAGGCAGAAGTGGGGGTGGGGCAAAACCTGTTGGAAAAGATGATTTTACTGTGTCTTGGGGAGCCTTTGATGTCATTTGCTTTATACACTGGGATTATACCTAGAGCCTTTGCTCTGAGTTACATTCTCAGGTTTTGTTTTGTTTTTGTTTTGTACCTGGGATCGAACTCCGGTCCTTGCGCTTGTGAAGCAGGTGGCGGAACCACTGAGCTAAATCCCTGGCCCTAAAAGCATCACTATGAGATTAATACTTAGGAGGCAGTTGTTTTGTCTTGTCGTCTTTTGTGTTTTTGTACTGGGGATCGAACTCGGGACCTTGCGCTTGCTAGGCAGGCAGGGGAAACACTGAACAAAATCCCCCCCCTTTATTTTTTATTTCGAGACAGGCTCTCGCTTAGTTGCTAAATTGCTCAGCGTGGATTTAAATTTGTGATTCACCTGCCTCAGCCCTCCAGTGCTGTGGTTACAGGTGGGTACCACCAAGCCTGGCTGCTTTATGTTCTTAAAAGGTGATCGGTAAAGTCGGGTGTGGTGGCTCCCATCTGCAGTCCCAGCTCTCGGGAGGCTGAGGCAGAAGGATGTTCAGTTGAAGGCCAGCCGCAACCTAGAGAGACCCTGGCTCAAAAACAAAAACCCATACATCCCACAACCAACAGCAGGAGCGACTGCTGCTGGGAAAATGGGCAAGGGGGAGCGTGCCGCAGCCCGGAGCCCTGGCTGCAGAGGTCCTTTGGTCCGCAGTAGGAGTCAGAGCGGCGTTGAATGGAACACGAGTAACACTGGAGAAATGGTAGCACAGTTACAGCGAGTGACAGGGAAGGGTGACCAGGTTTCCAGTCTTAGCGGGTCGACGGGATGAACGAGGTTTTACCGGCACGGGAAGATGGGGTCGAAGTTGCTCCTGCGCCTCTGCAGGCCATTGTGTGCAGGTGATACCGGGAGCCGGCTGGGCGCAGGCGGTGCCGAGTCGATGAGAGGATGGGAAGGAAGGAAGCAAGGCCCCTCGGCTCTGTCTCCCACCAGCTCCCCTCACAAATTCTTTGACAACAGTTAGCTCTTTTCAGTCTTGGGTAAAGTACTGAGTAGACAGCCACAAGACGAACCAGCACCTGTCCTCCTACGCGGCACCTAACGGCCTTGGTGGTCCAGTCGTCCCCGGACCCAACTGGGGTCTCTAGGGCTGGCTCCGCCTCTTCGCGTCACCCCAACCTTGCTGGAGAGCGAGGTTCCGGGCCTCGTCGGC